TTTCATCACTCCTAAAGCAACACATCTCTGCTTATTTTGTTTTGAACTTTACTGACTTTAAACCCCAAATGTGAATTTTTATTTGCTCTTAACCGCGAACACAAAAAATCTGTCCTTTCACCCCAACAGCTCTCATACAGTCAGCAATCAAATCCTCCATTCATCCTTGAGTACTTGATCACCTTAAATGTCACTGTTAATTTTAGCAATTTATTTATCATTACCTTAACACTAATCCACTGTTTTAGTTTTCTTTATTTATTTTTGTTCACTTTCTCCTATTTGATCACTTTGATTTCTTGACTCTTATTATTTCACAGAAAATCAACTAATCTACTTTGTCTTCCTCTTTGTCATCAAGGAATTCACACACACTCACAGCCTGGTCACTTGCCCCACCTTTTCTTTCTCTCTCACACACACATACATTTTGCTCCTCGTTCGTTCCGCCTGTGAACCTGCCCCTCGAGGCTGGCTCACACACACCTCATGCTTCTTGCAGTCCCATTCAAACTTTCTGCGAGACACTTTTTTCTCTGCTCATTCCGGACAACGCCCTAGACGGTGTGGGATTATAATATTATTTTGTGCCATGTTAGACCCCTAATTAAAGATTGTGAATTATTATGTAGTTTTAGTTTGCATTATTCTCCTGAATTAGAAGAAGCTGATAACTATTGCATTTGTTAAACTGATTTGCATTACATTAGACTGCTGATTTATTGTGAATGAATGATATTGTTTTATGATGCATTATACTGCTGAGTTATAAGAAATACTGTTCGCAGAAAGTCATCACCTTATTTGTCTGATTAAAAGAGAACAGAACATACTGGAGAGGTTTTCTGCCCCATCTCAGCAGGAGCAGATAAACAGGGAGCCAAGGTCGTAGCTTAGGCGCTGTGTGAGAGAAAGCATGTGAATGTTTAGGCTTATATGATTAGGTGGGGGCCACTAGAGGCTATAAGAGTTTGATTAATGCTCCACCATTTTGAGATCTGAGGCTGTCTGTGTACGGTGTCCATCTCCCATGCGTGTGATCATTAAAATCATCGTTTGACTCAACCCGGCCGGACCAGTGTTGTTCTTGTGGTTTTTCCTCTTGTATCCATCCCCAATATTTGAATCCTTAAACAGTTAGCGTTTTTCTGTTCTGCTTCATCCCAGCAATAAAGCTGTGTGTTTTTAGTTTCTTCCGCTTCCTTGAGTCCTGCATTTTGGGTCCTCTCCTCCTGCCTGCCTACACACAGACATGACAATTTGTCAGGTTGTATTTAAAAATGAGAATGTTGTTTTCCTTCAATAACATTTTCTATTGTCACACATAATCAAAATATTTTTGTATTGTGTCTCTTTTCCACAGTTTTTCTTCTGGTTTCTTTTACAGCACATCTCTGATAGAACTGAAAACAAAACTATTTTTACAGCACACACCTGCACAATCACTTAATCTGTGACATGTTGTTCGGTTACTGACGAATTTTCACAACCAGCAGTGAAATTTGTCCAGTGTAACATGTTTCTCTGTCAGATGAACCACACTGCTCTCTCTTT